TCAACAAGAGGATTCAATCCATTATCAGACCCTTTGCAGTGAATATGATAGCTTTGGCATCAACGAGGTCTTCAACGATGTTTTTCAATGCCCTGCAATTCTCTCGGAGCCCCTGAATGGAATTCACAACAGGAACTAGCATCATAACCTGAAGATGGTTTGGAGGAGGACCAAGCTCTCTCAGCTGGACTAACTGGCCTTTTAACAAATGAGGGAGGAATTGAGCATAAGGCATAGGTATAGGATCCACCCTTCTTTCAGGAACTTTCTTCCTCTTTCGTCCTCGTTGCCTCTGGGGTTGTTGATTCAGCTGAAAAGGTGCATATCATGTTTGCTGAACATATGGTTGTCTTTGTATGCACTACTGTTGATGATGGATTGGCTGATGCCTAGTCACCCTAGGTTGTTCAGCCGAAATTGTAGCATATACTCGAGGAACATATTGATTAGGATGAATAACTGATGCTTGACGGTGCAGAGCTTGTTCTTGATGATAGTTCAGGGTCTTCCCTTTGTCGATAGTAGCACTAGTCTCCCCTTTTTTCTTCTTGAGAAGGCCAAGGAAAGGTCTCTTGTTACTTCCACTGATAGCGGTAGATGTGCCCTGAATTTTTCCTGACTTGAGGCCATCTTTAATATATTCCCTAATGGTAACCAAGTTAGAAAAGGAAGTAGAAATACTACCAAGTATGTGTTGGAGATATGAGTCTTGCATTGTGCCCACGACCAAATAAGTCAATTCACGATCAAAGAGAGGAGGTTGAACCCTTGTGGCTAATCCACGCCACCTTTGAGTGTACTCTTTGAAGGACTCTTCTGATTTTTGTATCATCCCTTGAAGCTAAGTGCAGCTAGGAGTCATAACAATATTATAATGGTAATGTTTCAAAAAGGCATTAGCAAGCTCCCCAAAGTACTGACATGAGTTCTTTCTAATTGCATATACCAGTCCAACGATGCCCCTGTCAAGCTGTCTTGGAAGAAATGCATGAGCAATGGTTCATTTTCAGCATCAGTTGCCATCTTGCAACAGTAAGAACGAAGATGAGTCTTTGGGCAGGAGGTGCCTTTATATTTTTCAAAATCAGGAACTTTGAATTTGGGAGGAATAACTACCCCGACACGAGGCACATTGCAGTAGTATTAAATCCTGAAGTCTTGATACATTCCATATCTTTGAGATGCTCTTCAAGAGCATGATACATCTTTGCAGTTTTAGCAACTCCAGCAGCGAGATTCCCGTGAGGCTCATCAAGATCAATGGCGTCGTGATGATCATCAACATCATTCCGAGAAATTCCCGTAGGGGTCTCAACATTCACATTATTATTCCCTCCATTTGCAGAATTGGAGGGGGCAGAAGTGGCAAGCTTGGCAACACTTTGATGTAACTCTTCTTGACCCTTGATGATGGCATGCAGGGTTTCCATAAGCTGATCCATTCGGGTGCCCATGGTGTCCATATCTCGGCGGAGAGCATTTTGATTTTCTTTGAAGAGATTCATAAGTCTTCCCTAGTTGTTTATTGTACGGTAGGGATGTTGGGAAGTCGTCTTTGATGTTCACTGAAGTATGATTTAAAAAGGACCCCAATAAGTTTTTGTTGCAAATAATGAGTGCATGATAGTATAAATGCATGTTTTATCTTTATTTCCGAGGAAATCCAAAGAATCGTCTAACTTTTAACAAACATTTTTTTCATTTTAAAGAGCTCAACCAGCGAGACTTGACTTTGAAATTACTTAGATATGAGATGTATATACATGATGATATGATGTTGTGGTATGCTATGACACGAGGTCTCAGCTCCACATATTCTGGATAACCACAGTGTAGTCTTTTGCATAAACTGAAAGTAATAGGATCAAAGGTCCGACGTCACAAGCATGGTGTCAAGGTAACCACCCATAAGGTATGTACTAGGGGTTTATCACTTTCCGAACAAGGTTCTAGGGAAATCTCAGAGTCTACGCTCTTCCTTTGGATATTACCAATGTCCCAATTACTCAGTAATTAGTAATATTCGCATGAACAACTCGTCTGAGTGCAGCATCGTATGACAACTACTTCTAGATTACTCTGTCATAGTCTTCGCACTACACCTAAAAAGGCTAGGATGGGTTAATGGTTCTACGTCTCTCAGCTTCTCTGGATCCCAGGTCGAAAGCAACAATGTCTTCCCGATTACTCGGTAAACAATGCTACATTCAAGGGGACCTCCACTGAGTAGGGGATATCATGCCTCCTTCTTAGGGATTACTCCCTCAAAGTTAACATAATTATACCGCCCGTCCTAACCCTAAGTGTAATCCCAAGTCCGGGTATAGGACTTATCAAATGTAATCACCCAACCCAACATCACAAAAGATACAACATATCAGAATATGTGAGTAGCAACAGTATAATGCAATATATACAAAAGAAAGCAATAAAGAAATAAAGAAACAAATCCGTAAAGCAAACAAAGTAAATAAATAAACACCCAAAGAAATAAATAAGCAAAACTAGGATATACTTGCATAGGTCCCCAGCAGAGTCGCCAGCTGCAGCTACCGGCAAAAAAACACAGAGCCGCCGCCGAGCTTTATTTATCCCGAAGGAAGGGGAAATATCAAGAAAACCATAAGAGGATGGATAAGATGGTCTTGCAACCAAAAGAGAGGGTATGGAAGTCGATTATGTGAGGGGAAAGTATTAGCACCCCTGGCATCCATTGTACTTAACGGGATCCATTTTGATTATTTACTTCTAAGGGTGTGTCTTTCTATAACTATACTTGCTAAGGGGAATGAAATGGTTTTTGATTAGTGCGTTCGTGAGGGTCTCATAACCCTTTGCCTACGTATCCCATGAAGGAATCAGAACACCATAGTTCTTCTAGAAAATGTTGGTTTGTTGGTGTTTTTTTAATGGGTGACGTTAATGCATACATTCTAGCAATAGGCACGGCCGATATCGCGGTAGAACGGAGATAACATGCCCTTTTTGATGTTTGATTGGTTGACTGTTTTTGTTAAGTGTGAAATGAGTTTGAATAATGATTAAGTGTTTTTGGATTTTTTGATTAAGGAGAGAAAGTTTTAGTTTTAATTTACAAAAGAAGAAAGAGTCTAAGGGGGAGACTAAAAACCTAATTGTTGTCATACAAATATGGACCTAATGTTGAGTGTAAAAGGGAAATTCTATCCTAAATTTATCATACATAGTTTTTACCCTAATGTCTAATTCAACATGAAATGATCAACATGAATTTAATCGATTTGGGGAAACTTAAGGGAATATGTAACCAAGTAATCAAACAAAGATAAAGAAATTAAGTTCTTAATTTTTTTATAATTTTTATCAAGTAAATAAAAGAAAACAATACTATAATATTTTTATGATTTTTTTTAAAATAAATATTAAAACCTAATTCTAAATTATTATGAATTGGGAAATGGAGGAATTCTAAAAAGGGGGAAATCAAAATTTTAATACTACTCTATTCTAATATATTTTTATTTATTTTGTAAATAATTAATCAAAAGAAAATTAAACTTCTAATCTAATATTTTTGGGTTTTTATTATATAAAGACAATTAAAATAAAATTGAAACTTAATTATAATATTTTTGGTGTTTTTTGTATAGAACTAAAAATGAAATAAGAAAAAAACTTGAAACTTTTTAAAGGAAAAAAAGTAGAGCTAGGGATTGAACTCATGCCCCTTGGGCTATAACTCTCTTGCCTTAACACTGAGTCATATTTGTTTTTATGTTGTAGGTACAGTTTAATTAAAAATAAAATAAAGTTTGGGTGAAAAAAGATAAAAAGCAGAATAATGGTAAAATTTTCCCCAGGGGTCTCGAACCCAGGACCTCAAAAATACAAACACACACGTTAACCACTTCATCAAGCTGCTCATTCGTTTATTTCTATGCTTCCATTAATATAAAAACTAAAACATACGAAATGGGTTGGGCTAAAAAATTAAGCCCAAATCTGGATTTGTTTTAGGGGGAATGGGGAAAGTTGGAACCCTAATTTGAACAGGGAAGTGTCGCGCTGGTGTATAGGGAAGGGGAAAAGTGAAAATTAACTTTTGTTTAATTCCCCATAACTTTAATTTAAAATAGAAAAAGGATTATCCTATTACCTCATCCTCAAATCATTCACAATTCTTCCCCTCTGTTTCTCTCTCTCTCTCTCTCGATTCTTATTTCTCTCAACCAAAAAAATCAAACAACAAAATCCTCTTTGTTCCTCAATTCGACTCTCTTCTTTGCTACCCTTCAGCTCTCTATCACTAACCCTCTGTTTCTCACGGTTATCTCTTTGCTTCAACTCACCCTCTCAAAACCAATTCCTCTCTATGTGAAATTCTATTTAAATACAACAACAAAACTATGTACTCGGTTCTCTATTATCATGTTTATTGCTCAAATATCCAAAATTACAACATAAACCAATTAATTTCAGTTTTCACCAGAAAACCCTAGAGTTAGAAATCGGGATTGAATCTCAATCAAGAAGCATTTCAAACAATGAATATGGGGATAAGAATCAGAGAAACAAAGGCAACAAGATGGTATAAAAAGAACTCGGAAGTCTTACATGGTCAGAGTTATTCTGACGGATCCCGACTTCGACGATGATAAGCTATATTCTCCTATTCTCTTTTTCTTATGTTACACAAGATTTCGTGTGTTTTTTGTGGTTGTTGCGTTTATGTCTTACTGAAATTGTTATGTTGTGTTATTCTAATGATGGATTGATGATTGATGCAGTGATATTGATGTTGTTGATGTTTGCAGATGAAGATGGAAGATGAGTTGAGTGGTTGAATGGTAGTGAGTTTTTGGTTGGCGAGCTGGGTGAAATTGAGGTTGAGGTTTTTGTAGTGAAGGAAAGGTTTTGGGGTTGATTGCTGAAGGTTTTGTTTAGGGTGATTTTCGGGTTGGAATGGAGGATTGATTTGTGTGAGTTATGGAGTGAAAATTTATGGTGAGAGGCTTGTTGAAATGTTGCAGATTGAGGTTTTAGGAGGAGGTGGCAAGGTTTGTGTGAAGGACGATGAAGGTTTCAGTATGTTGAGTTTTTGATGAGAGGATGGAGTATGAATCTGTCTTGAAGGGTTGGAGGTGAGGGAATATGGTTGAGGGCTAGAGAGAAGAGTGAATGTGGAGATTTCAAAGAGAGTTTTGTAGGTTGTTATGCAGAGAGATGGTTGATGGTGATTCTTCAAGAGGATCAAGAATGTTTTTTTTTCTTGTCTATTGTTGGTATCTGATTGCCCCCCCCCCCCCCCTTGAGCAGGGTTTAAAGAGGAGTTTATATATGGTTACATAAGGGTTTTTTTGGGGGGGGGGGTGGGGGAATTGGTGAGATTTGAACTATTTTAGCATGCCGTTTTATAGCTTTTTTTTTGCATATTGGTTTTGACTATTTTGATGTATTTTTTGGATGGTTTTGACATGTTTTTTGACTGTTTTAGGGCAGCAGTAGCATAGTAGAGCAGCAATGTAGGCTGATAGGTTTTGGCTTGTTGTGAAAGCAACTTTGTTTTTCAAGGGATAGGGGCTGATTTTGCATGTTATTTTGGACTATTTTGTAGTGCTTTGGGACAGGTTTGGCTTTCTAAGATGTAGGGTAGCAGGGCATAATTTTGGTGTTTGGATAGCAACTCATGGTTAGTGACAAGAAGGCTATAAGAAATTGAAGTTCAGGATAGTTTAGCATAAATTTACATGTAACTTGTAGAAATTTTGTACCATGAGAGACCTTGTAAAACCTTTGTATTTGTCTTGATAAAACTTGAAATCTTTCACTTGAATTTGACATTGATTTGTCTTGAATTATTTGAATTTGCAAGTCCTGAATTATGCCTTAAAATCAATGTCTTTTTTTTTCAAATTGTAACTTGTATCTCAATTAGGTGCCTCCTCCACTTTTGAATGGACCATGACAAACATCTTTGAATCGATGATCTTAGAATTTGAAAGAAATCATGAATCCTGCTTAATGTTGTAGCTCCACAATTTTGTTTCAACCATGTACATTAGGCGTGAAAAAAATAAATCCTCCTGATTTGTATAATTCCATTGCTTGAATGAATCTTTAAAAGGATGAATGATACTTTGAATAAAATAATGGCATGTAGTGTGGGTCTTGTAAATTGCGACTTTTTTTCTCAAACTCTTTGATCTTGTATGCTTAAAACTTTGACAATCTTGATTAAAAGCCAAAGTTATGGAGACACTTGAATCAACTTCACCCCTAATTAAATCTCCAACCCAAATAAACTTTCAAATGAATCCATAACATTATCTCTTGTTCCAGGATTTGATGTTCTATAATTTCAAACCATAAACGCTTGACTTGGTGACTAAAGATCTCGGGAATAAGACTTGAAGTGTGAGGAGATACATGACATGAAACCCATAAACCAAATGATTTTCGGTTGATGCATGTTTACAAGATCAATCATGATGAGTATCAAAATCCTAATTGATGGACTGATAAATTGCACTTCAATAGATTAAAACCTCTTGACATGATGAAATGCGGAAATAAAAGTTCTTAACCAATTTTGAAGAGATGTGGATAGATTCATAAGCCTTAAGAAGTCTTTAGATGAATAATTAGGTTGAAGACAAAAGGATCAACATGGCCATGAAAACAAACCCTGTATCTTGACACAATATCATGCCCCTTTGAGAAAATTCTTTGAACCAAACCTTAATCTCATGATTAACTCACATGCTCACACATAATGAATGAAACCTTAATCTTTAACCTCGAAGAAGAAAAACCTTGTGACTTGCTGAAGAAGGAATATGTGATAACCAAACTTCCAAAACCCTAACGCATACAGTCCACTATTCAAGAACCAGATGAATCTGCCTTTATCTGATGAAGAAAACTAAAACCAAAGTAAAGCCCTAATTAGCACAACTATTGATGCTTTGAACCACTGCCTTATTGAAATGAAGGAATTATGTGTGAATGACCTAATGAGAATTATGCAAATGAAATGCAAAGCCTAAGCCGGATAAAATTGAAAAGGTAGGACAAATTTGGGGTATGACATATCATCTTCATCATGGATCAACTTCAGGCAGGTATAATTGAGATGGGGACGCGTATGGAGACTTAGATGCGCCAATTCTTGTAGCTTATTCAAAACCTCGCCCTTGGACAAGAAAAGTTGAGACATAATGTTCAGAGGGTTGCAGTTGCTACTGTTGATCACGTTAATCCACCAGTGGTTAATCTTAACCAAATGGAGGTTCCTTTGAATCAGACTGTCAAGAATACCGTTCAAATCCTTGTCAATGGAGCTCCTCACCATGAGAATATTTCTGAGACGTCATATGACACCTTCAGGTTCTCGATTGATGGGACTAAGTCTGAGAAAAAGCTTCACCTTCTGGAGGAGAGGATGAAAGCTATTGAGGGTTGTAACTCCCTTGGCATAAACGCTTCTAGTTTGCACTTGGTGCCTGGTATCAAGATTCCTGCCAATTTAAAAGTCCCCACTTTTAAGATGTATAAGGGTGCCACTTGCCCGATGACTCACATCAAAGCTTATTTTTATAAGATGGCTCCTTATGTAGAAAATGACAAGCTTATAATGTACTTCTTTCAGGATAGCCTCAGTGGAGCATCTCTTGAGTGGTATACTCAGCTTGAAAGAATTAACGTCCGAAATTGGAAGGAATTAGTTGAAGCTTTTTTCAAGCAATACAGTTACAACAGTAACATGGCTCCTACCAGAATTCAACTCCAAGATTTGACTCAGAAGGCTGGTGAGTCATTCAAACAATATGCACAAAGATGCAGGGAGCTAGATTCCAGAGTTTATCCTCCTCTCTTAAAGAGAGAACTTGTTGATATGTTCTTAGATATTCTGCATGGTCCTTATCTGACAGTTATATGTGCTTTTGAATTTTCAAAAATGATTATGATAAGAGAACAAATTGAGCACGGGCTTAAGACTAGTAAGATCCAGGATGTTGCTACTACTCTTGAATTCCCAGATCAGGACGACGAAGAAACTAGCGCAGTCTCTGATAACGAAGAAGCTCCTACTTATCCTCCATATCAGATTCCTTATAAGGTGACAGAAGCTACTTCTAGCCAGGATGATCTACATATTTGTACTGTAACTGTTAACCAATCAGTGGTTCAACCTGTTCAGTATGTTCCTCGGTAGCAAACCTATCGAAAGAGACGTATGCAACAGGGTAAGCAAAGGGACAGGAAGCCAAAAAGAGTGTTCGACATTGTTCCTATGACTTATGGCCAGTTATTCCCTCAATTGATCAAGCTTTCCTTGGTGGAACCTATTGTATCCCAAAATTTTCCCTCTCATCTTATTCAAGACATTCTCCTAGGGTTCTCAAATGCTCAAGGTTGCTCAAGAATTAATCAGACAAATTCTCCTTCTAAGCAATGAGTCCACAACTAGGGTTTCATCTTTCACAAGGAAATTTGGGTTTCTAAGGTATCAAATGGAATTCATGGTCTCTTATAGGTCTCCAAGAATACTCATACCAAGTTTCATGCCTTGCATCACAAGTTTGCTCAATCAATGGCTCAGATGATTGAAAATAAATTGTAATGGACAAAAAGTCAACTCTGGTCAACATACAGTCAAACTTCAATATTTTTGGTCAACAATAACATTTTGAACTCACATTCATCATTTGATCAATGGATGATCATGATTCATCAAGGAAAATTCTCACATCATCAAAAGTCAAAAGGTTCTAAATTAGGGTTTCCCTTAGGAGAAGTCAACTGAACTTTGACCAAGCATAACTTTCACATACTTCATCAATTTTCCCCCAACCAAAGTTAATTTTGAATAAAATTCAATTCTCTACAACTTTGTCTCTCTAAGCTCAAGTCCAAAAAATGCTTCATTTGAGAGATATGAGCCAATACATTATAGGTCATTTCAAAAGTCAACAAAAAGACAATTTTTGTCAAGGAAATTTATATTAAGATTAATTCTTCAAATGCAAAAATAATAAACATAGAGATTGAAGAGGACATTGTGAGCTTTACAAAAAGGCAAAGATCGCCTTCAAAAGATGAAAATTGAGAGAGTTATGACCAGTGAAAGTTGGGAAATTTTGTGCAAGTGCATGAAGTTCAAACTGAGCAAATTTGATATTTTGGACTACTGGGCCATTGTTTAAGAATACAAGCGTGTATTACACTCCTTATACACCTAAAATATTGTTCATGTACCCCTTGGTATATTTTATTTTAGTTATTTTTTATTTATTCATTATTAATTCAAAAAAAATAAGTTAAAATACAACGCTTCTTATACAAAGTCCAAGCTCATTTTATCTTTGACCTAATTCATGCTATATAATCTCCATTCTTCATACAAGTAAGGCACGAAACCCTTATATAAAGAAGCTTGTCCAAAGTATCAATTTTTCAAGAACCCTAAAACAAATTGAAACCCTATTCATAGTCCCTTTAAATCCAAACTAGCCAGTCCATTCACTTCCTGGGACGTAAGAGGGTAAGGATGGATCCATTTCCATTGTCAAAAGGGGATAAAATAACATGAACATGCCTCGCTGGTTTAATCATTGCATGTTTTTCATATTTGTTGTTTCATGATGTTTTTACGCATACTAATGTTCATAATATGTTCGTGAAGTTTGATTGTGCAAGATAGAATCATCATGGAGGCCTCACGCTGGCCAAATCGTGATATGCCATATTTGCACCGATCCATCTTGTTTTCGTTATACCTCATAAACTGTTTATTTTCAATAAAAAATAAGCATCCTATTGAACTCGCATGCCTCTGTTTAGGGGGGTAGGGTCCCCCTGGATCCCTAATGTGTGCTATTTTGCAGGAACAATAAATTGGCTCACCGGAGAAGACGGTCGGAGCTAGGGCTCTGCCGTCTCTCTGGCCAATGCATTGGAGTTTCATATTTATTTTAATTGTTTCACATAAGTTAACATATGTAACCAACGGTTGAAATGTATGCGCTAAGGAATTACCATATCAAGGTGTGGGTTTGATCCAAGCCTTTTGTTGTTTTTTTCCATAATTTTTCATATTTTGCAGAATTGAATACAAAGCGCATTGGTCTCTATCCTTTGACACAGGCGCGCGCCTGGCCAGGTGCTGAAGGTGCTGATTAAAATTAATTAGGTTTATAGGTTTTAATTAATTAAAATAAATTTAGGTTTTAGGTTAATCATCAAATCTTTTATAATAAAAAATCGCCAAGAAAACAATTCCCTCCTCCTTTCGCTTTCTTATTTTACGTTTTCGCATAGTTTGTTATTCTCGCATTTTTTTCCAATTATAATAACTACCTATGGTTTTTAATAGTAATTAGGGTTTCTATTTCCCTACATTTTTATTTCTTGTACCCCCATTCCCGAAGCCTTGTAATAGCGTAGATTTTTACTTTCCGCACTTTACTGCTTTCTTTATTTTTTGTTTACTGCTTAGTAAATAGGCCTTGTATGGAAAGATAAAAACAATCGTTAGCTAACCCTAATTTCAAAGATTAAAATAACTGAACATAACATACTTTGCACACTTGCACCTCTAGGGTACCCTCTTTTGTTGCCTTTCGATTAAATAGTCATATCCCTCGGACGTGGGGATGCTTTAGCAATGTCCCTCGAAATCAAAGATCGTAGTCCCTCGATGAACCTTCGATGTTGCCTTCGGTAAACGATCTAGTCCCTTTATGAATATGATAAAGTTCCCCTACAAGTTGCCTTTTATGACTGTACAATGACCCACACTTGTCCTTTCACATCCAACGATAGGGCTTCCTACTAACTAATTGTAGGGTATCACTATCTAAAGGAGGAGGAAAAGAACAATAAAGACCTTGAGTGGGTTGAACGCTCGTATTTGCTTGCTCACCAACATTTCAAAAAAACATTTCACACACACACACACACACACATACACACACACACACACACACACACTTTTCAATAAAAATTTTCAAACAAACACTTTGTACGCATTCTCGAGGATAAATACGAGAAACATTACAAAGTTTGCCTTACTATTGGCATTTTCAAAATATTTTCAATCACACATTTACAAAGCAATTTTCAAACAAAGTGAGCTAGCGATCAAGAGCCCGTAGATAACTACGAATGAAAAGGATGCTAACACCTTCCCTTTTCATAACCTACCCCCCAACTCAAAAATCTTGAAGTTATTTCCTGTTCTTTTCACCCTTTCCTTATTAGATAAAAGAAAAGTTGGTGGAGACTCTTGCTATCCGCAACATTTGCGATCAAACGTAAACCAAGTCAATTCTCCCACCGTGTTACAGAACTGGCGACTCTTCTGGGGATGCTTACAAAAAGTAGGGTTACCTTAGAGTTAGATCATTTTTAAATTATTTCCTTGTTTGCTTTGCATGCTTTACATTTTGGGGCTTGATCGGGTTTACTTTTCTTGCAAAGATCCTACACCCGGATCTGGGGACATTTTAGGTAAGTAGCAATAGATCATGAAAACTATACGGTGTATATTGATATGGTTGAAGTGATGGCTACGTAAGTGCGACACATTGGTTGGTACTGGTATCCCTCGAGTCAGTCGGGGAGAATATTAGGTTGTCGCGTGGTGTCATAAGCACTAAATGACCTTTAAAATCTTAATTGACCCAACTTAGCCATTAGAAGGTAGTGAGATAGATGGATTTGGTGCAGTCCGAAGTTGGTTGATACTCGATGCTACGCTCATTGAGATTCGACTCTCGGGTCTTGTTTGGTGGCAAGTCAATTGTCGTGCTAAACAAAACCTGTGGTAAAATTCAGTGATATTGAGATCCCTAGAACCTGGTTTATTCTTTAGGACAGGTTGAGCCAACTAAACTTCAAGAGGGTACTTACCTACGAACCCCATGCAAGCCTTAAACCTAAGGCTCTTGTGTGCTTTTTTGTGTTTGTTATCTGTTTAAACATGACATCATAACATCATAACACCATATCATGACTAACCATTTCAAGGGTCTAGGGGATTTATCTTTGTTTTGTGTTGCAGGGTCATGACTTCCAGTCGTAGGAATACTATTTGAACCAAATTAGTAAGGGTACCTTCCAAGCTTGAGGAATTAGTCTCAAAGGTTCCTGACAATTCTCAATTCACCAAGAGACATGGCCATCTATTCAGTTTGGTTACTACCGGTTTCAAGGAAGACATGATGAGTGTTCTGTTCCAGTTCTTTGATCCTAAGCATCATTGTTTTACCTTCCCAAATTATCAATTGGTGCCCACAATGGAAGATTTCTCTAAATTACTCGGAGTGCCTATTCTTGATCAGATGCCTTTCACTGGTCTTGAGCAAGTTCCCAAACCTAAAGACATTGTAGTAGCCTTACATCTGAAATGATCAGACATTGTATCTAATTGGGAAACAAGGAATGGATTCAAGGTTATTTCTCCTAAATTTCTGATAGAGAAGGCTCAGTGGTTTCATGATGCCACAAGTTTTCATGCTTTTGAGGATATTTTGACTTTTTTGATCTATGGTTTGGTACTATTCCTTAATCTGGACCAATTCGTAGATGTGAATGCCATTAAAATATTTCTCACTCATAATCTGGTGCCCACTTTGCTTGGAGATATCATGCATTCGCTTCACACTTGTGTTAGAACAAAGTTTGGTTCTAATCATATCTTAGAGTTTTGATGATAAGAATGAAATAAATTTTGTGAAATAAATTTTATACTCTTACTTATATGTTCTCTAAGTTCAGATGATGTTCTGACTCATGCATATTATAAAGAAACAACATTATGCGCAATTCTAAAGAAAACTCAGAAGGAAGCACTCCAAAGCAAAATCTGATGAAGAGCAATCCTAAGCAACCTCTGATAAAGCTAGTTGAAGCAAAGATCTGAAAGAATCACGCTGAAAGCAACATATAATAATGCAAGATTAAAGCAAACTCTGATGAACACATAAATTGAAGAATACTTCAATACTAGAAAAGATAAAGTATACTCTGAAATGGCAATGCTGCAAGAAAACACTTAAACTTCCAGAGATAAGCTCTGACAGTACCGTTGGTTATTAAATGCTAAGACGGCTAACACACTCAAGTGTACTATGCACGAGCATTGGAAACATAAAGACCAAGCCTACACGCATCATTAAATGTATGAACTCTCATCAAGGCAGTAACAGTCAA